AATGTAGTTTTTAAAATTGTTGGGCAAGTTAGAAAAAAATACTGCGTGATGTTACCACTTTTCACTATTCATTCCATTATCATTTTAGGAATAAAAGATCGACCGTTTTAGCTTTAGAACAAAGCGGGAATATATTTTATATATTTTATTGCGTGCCTTTGTGCACGGCTTTCTTCCGAATGACAAAAAACTAGTGGTAAATAAACGGCCGTTTGACGTTAAGGTAAGTTTTTGTGTAGGCGGTAGCTACTCCTTTCGTCACGGCCCGGACTTAACCAGTTTGTGAAAAGCAATTCAAGTCCAATAAAGAAGTAGGCAGGGAAAGATAGCTATTTACTTTATAGTCAGTGAGGGCAGAGGACTTAATGCTACCTGCTATCCACTATGTTCCAGCTCTTTTAGTGCTTCCTCAATAAAAGTCTTAGTATTTAAATATTGTGTCGCTTCTTTTGCCGGGAGGACGGGGGTTAAATTTAATTCTATTAAGTCATCAGAATACCCTTTCTTCCTATAATGAAAACAGTTTGAACATCCTCGTATAAAATCAGTTTAAATATGTGGGTCCTTCTTTCCCCTGCTGGTGATTATGATTTTGATTCCTTGTTTCATTATCATACATACGACCCTAAGCTCCTAATACCTCCCCGGGGAAAAAATTAATCCGCTGACATCTGGAAGCTCCTTTAAAAGTGGGGAGAACCATTTGAACCCAATTTGTAGGTTTACGAGCTTCCACTCCTAGCCCTCGGAAACCTTAAAAGAAGAAATTGATTTATGGAGCCTCTTCGTGTTAGCCCGTTTTTATTTGTGTCTGCGACTCGTTGTATGAGTTTTAACTGCTTTTGCCTTGGGGATTTTTCAAAACACGCCCACGCTGATTCTATTGTACAGGTGATAAAATAATTAATTTGCATGAGGACCAGCTCTTTGCCGAAATAAAACGGCATAAATTTATTAAAAATACTCCTGTCATTCTCCTTTTTTTCTGTTATTGTATTTTAGGAGTTTCTGTTTCATTTAATCAACGAACATATTTATAAATTTATTTTCATATGAATAATTGTGAACAATGTTTCTTGTGTAGTTTTTTTGTACGACATCATTGTATTTAAAATATTTTATTTTCCAAAGTTAAAAAAATACACATGTTGAAGCTACGGAAGTTAAACAAGGACCCTTGTTACAGTGATGGAAGTGAAATTTATGAAATTATTTAAAAAATAAAAATAAATAAAACGAACAAATAAAATAAAGATGTTAATCTTTTTATGTAAGTACAGTTTTTGGACCAATTAATATCTTTCAATTAATTAAGGTTTTTAGTTGAGATAAAAAAGTCAGTGTCACGAGCGGGATTCGAACCCACGACCTCCGGCTAGATACGCCGCTGCTCTAGCACTTGAGCTATCGCGACTTCGATCCACTCGGACACTTATTTCCCATCTCAAGTTCTCAACCCCACCTTTTGAATTTTCCCTCCTTTTTGCCATTTTTCAACCTTTTAGCTTTTGCCATTCAGGGGATTCGAACCCACGACCTTCAGCTCGGGACACTAACTTTTTCATTTCAACCAATACATTACTTAAAGATTAATTATAGAAAACGTCCACACAGAATATTTCAGCATATTTATGTAGAATTAACTGTCATTTTAAGTAATTTTCTTTATATTGTTTAATATCTCTCTCTCACTCTCTCGCTCGCTCTTTCGCTCTCTCTATCGCTCTCCTTCCGTCTTTCTCACACGGACACCTACTATTTCTCTGTTTGTCTGCTTCTCTCTTTCTCACATGGACACCTACTTTTTCTCTGTTTGTCAGTCTCTCTCTTTCCCACTATACTACTTTTCGTATTTTTATGTCTATACATTTTTTTTTCTCTACGTAGAACTTTTTCTTCGTTTATTTTTTCTATTTCCTGTTTTCTTAAATGCGACTGAATTCAACAATACATTTTCTTTGATAACTCATCTCACTTATATTTTTGGCGAGCTATGAAATGAGAAAAGAAGCAGTATTAAATTGAATTATGTAATTCACATTATGTAAGTCAAATGAGCGCAAAAATCACCGAGTTAAGTCTAAATCTCATTGGCTGCAGAACGGGAGGCACACCTGATTGTATCCTAACTCGATGTATATTTTTTTTTAAACTGTGAAATTACCAGTCCCAGTCGTCGAGAATTCAGGAAATGAAAGAGGCCGCGTTTCATATTTCAAAAAAATTTTAATTCCTTTGCCGGGGACTCGTCGTGATTTTTCATTGTCAAAGAAATGTTATAAGGGTAACCACCAGGGGGCCATGGAAATATTTAATTTATGGATTTTTTATAATTTAGGAATCCGTACAAGGTTGAAAATATAGTAAAAACAGGTGGCTCCCTGAGGCCACCGTATGGGAAATTAATTACAACTTAATTCGCTTCGCCTTTGAATAAATATGAGAGGACCGTCTCTTATTAATACATTCCTACGGATCTGCACAGGTGGCGATGATACATAAATGATGAGGGTATCTACGGGGGGTTTCCAACAGTGACACCCCATTAGAACAGAAGAATAGGCCTTGCCCAGGTCCTTTCTTCTTTTCCTTCTTTTTTTCCTCTTTCTTTCCCCGTCTTCCATTTGTGACGGGTAAAAAATAGAAGCGGTCACCTTTGTACGAACGGCTCGTTCCTTGTGATTGTTACTTGTGAGCCCTGGAAACAAGAAGGGGCCGTGATGAATTATCATAATATTAAATATCAAGAGAAGTTATACGATTGTCCCCTTGGTACTCCGGTGACAGATCTTTATTTAATTTATCACGCGGCACGTTCCTTTTATCGATTCGTGTTTTATCATGCTTACACCTAATTTAATTTCTTCGAAACGGTCCAACACCGTTGCAATAGACAAATATGGCTCATTAATAACAATTTTGTCGGTTGCAATCAATCGCTCAATGCATTGGGGTCGAGATCGCTAAGCCATTCAAATCCAAGAGAATACACTCTTTTTTTTAACGATATAAACGATAATTTAACTCGGTGTTAACGGATTTAACTATTCATATTATGACAGTTTAAATAGCAATGGAAAACACTCGGTCCGCATGTTCTAGCTGTTTGTTCCTTTCTAAAAAAACACTCTATATAAGCCATATCATATTGGACAATTCAATATATCTATCCTGTCTATAAACTGATGGACCTGTTCCGTTAATGTGCCTCCGCCCCACTCGACTGCTAAGATCTCTCTCCGGTCACTTAAGGACTGCTGTTCATGCTCAAGGACATCCTTCCATCCACCTACTATCTCGTACTGCACAGTTACTTCACTGACCGATTCTTCCAAGTCATCGAAGGCCATTCCCTCTCTTCATATTTTCCTATCCATGCTGGTGTTCCTCAGGGTAGCGTTCTGGCCCCTACACTGTACCAGGTTTTCACAGCTGACATGCCATCTCATCCCGAAACCACCACATTCACATTTGCAGACGATACGGCAATTCTCTCTAGCAACTCCGACCTTGTCATTTCCACTCGAAACCTCCAACAACACCTCATACTACTAGAGTCTTGGTGTAAAAAGAAAAGGATAAAATTTAACACAGACAAATCCACCCACATTACCTTCACTCTTCGTAAAAAGATCTCCCCCCCTGTTTTCTTAAACAATATTCCCCTCCCAACTGCGGACAAGGTGCGGTACCTCGGATTGTACATCGACAAACGCCTGACGTGGAATCCTCACACAAGACTGAAACGTCAGGAGGTTATGACACGATTTAGAGTTCTTGCACGACTTCTTGACAAACGCTCTAATTTACCTCTCAAAAATAAAAGGCTGCTTTACAACACCATAGTTAAGCCGATTTGGACTTACGGACTGGAAGTGTGGGGTTCAGCCAAACATTCCAATATCCACCGCATTCAAACTGCCCAGTCTATAATACTACGAAAAATACTAGATGCTCCATTTTATGTATCGAACCAAACTACACATACAGATTTACATATTCCTTTCGTACAAGATGAAATACGTTTCCGTTACCGTAAATTTCATAAAAACCTCCCAACTAACGTAAACCAACACATCAGAAACCTCGCATCCCGACGAATCCCCTCAAACCCTCCCCGCCGACTGAAGAGACAATGGCCGCGAGATCTCCTAGGAAGTGATGGTGATGACAGTGAAAGTGATAATGACACACGTATCAATTGAACAAACAATATTATTGTAACATTGGAGTAATACCAATGGGTGTTTTCTCCACTCTTGGTTTTAATTTTGTTTTGTTTTAATTACCTTTCTCACTGTTACTTATTACCTACTTTAAGGTAGTTGTAATGTACAACAAATTAAAAAAAAATCACTTAAGGAAATGCTCCTTTGAAGGAAATCATAAATACTGAAACATTTTATCGTAGGCAATTCCTGTAATAATAATTACGAGTATAAATTGACAATAAAGGAAATCAGAATTGACGCCCTGGAGGCCAAAATTCAACTGTTTCACTAAGGATGCTTTCGAAAACATCAACATTAATTGCCGTACATGACTGCCGCCACATAAATTCGGAATCCAATGAACTTCGGCGGGTTCAGCACTGCCATTTGTTCCTCGCCTTTGCTTTTCCCCATACACTTTCAACGGTTTGGGTATGTGCACGGGTGGTCAGGTCGACAAAATTGAGAGAGTGGTTCTCTGTCATATGGCGGAAAATAGGATCCTGGGATAGGAGTGGCTGCAGTTCTGCCCGTAACGGCGACTAGAAAATTTTCTCTCGTTTCGCGGCAAATGCCACCAAACACCCACTGCTGTGGTAAGATTCTCCCACAGTTGTTTTTTCGGCGCGAAAACAGCGATTCATCAATTTCCACAGTGCAATTGGGGGACACCAATGCGCGAATGTCTGAGTAGAGAGTACAGACGTGATGCATGTAGTTGCACCAATCATCGAGTGTGTTACGCTTTATACTTAACTCCTTTTCACAGCTCCTTTTTTTAATGCTTACCATTTCGTATGCCCAAGCATATATGAAGAGCACGGTGGTCGAATATGGTCTTGAGCCAGATAGATATGTGTTACTTCTTAGCGCCATTTTCGCCTTGCACCCAAGTTTGAAGCATCTCCACGTGTCATGCGATCCTGTCAAATGCTGTCTCGCGTCTTGTCCTCCTATATATATCGCACAGCTAGTGAAAAATGACCTTAAATTTATGTGAGGTATTGGTTGAGATAAAAAAGTCAGTGTCACGAGCGGGATTCGCACCCACGACCTTCGGCTAAATACGCCGCTGCTCTAGCCACTTGAGTTATCGTGACCACCAACCACGTCAAGTGGTTAGAGCAGCGGCTTATTGAGCCGAAGGTCGTGGGTTCGAAACCCACTCGTGACACTAACTTTTTCATTTCAACCAATACCTTGTATAAAAATATTAAACAATTGAAAGAATTTATTTGGTCAGTCGACCCACGAAATATAATGAATAATAAATAATAATAATAATAATAATACTTTATTGCAAAAAAGAAGTTATAAACATTACATAGTATATAATTTAAAGTAAAATTACGGCATGGAGGGTCCGTCTGCCGGAGGTCGATTTTGATTTGACTTAAATTTTTGTTCGACACAAAAAAAAATGTTAATTAAAAAAAATGTAAAATAATGTAAAATATAAATGTAAAATGTTAAATAAAAAATGTTAAATAAAAAAATATAATGGATATTAAAGTATATTAAAAAAATGTATTTTTTGTTCCGTTTTTTCTTAGTTTTGTCTTATGTTATATATATATATATATATATACACACACACACACACACATTCAACCATTTTGTAAATTGGATTTATTGGGTAAATATATTATTAATTATTTCAATTAATTATTCTTTTATCTAAGGTTTTTGGTTGAGATGAAAAATTAGTGTCACGAGCGGGATTCGAACCCACGACCTTAGGCTAAATACGCAGCTGCTCTGACCACTTGAGCCATCATAACTTCGTGATTTTTCATCTCATCCAAAAATCTTAGATAAAAAGAATAATTAATTGCAATAATTAATATGGTCAATTAGCCCACTAAGCAAATGGATTCATTTATATTATTAATATCACTCTGCGGATGTTACGAAGAAATATTGCAATCTCATTGGTGGACAATAATGTGCTTAAAATCAATGGAAAAATATATAAATTTACAAGATATTTTCATATTATATCGGCAACATGTTTAAATCAGTCCGATGGTAATTGGTGCGCAAACGGAGGATTGTCACGACTCCCTCTTTCACATCCCACTTCCATCGGTCGGCAAGGATTTATTCAGGCGTCCCAGCTCGCCCTGGGAAAACCTCGGAACGGGGAGTTTCTGTGATATTTCAGTGGCCGGATGACAAACGGTTCCCCGTTTTAAAAGCCGTTCTCACGGGAACAACGAGCTCGTTGATTTTTCGATATGCGACCAGACCGAGTCTTGCAGAATGAGTTTTTGAAATAGGAGCAATGACAGTTTCCGACAGGCTTTCACCAAGAAGTATACAACTCTATGCCTGAGAACTTTCCAGCCCTGGATATATTCTAGATAAAGTAATATCATTTGTAATATTGTCATTCAAAGATTTTGATTAAGCACACTTCATTAAGAATTTTTACCCAATAAAGATAAAGGATTACTAAACTTATTTTTGCTGAAGCATCAGTATATTCGCAAGGAGGTTTTGCATAAATCAAATTAATAACAAAGCACCGCATCTTGCTCAAATCGGCGTTGACGACATTGGGTGAATCCAGTCGCCAATAACTCCTCAGGGATGACACCTCATCCTTCCTTTTCTGTCCAGTGGAAAAGGAGAATTCACGGGCCACGTAATTGGTTAATTTACATTCCGGGGCCTGCGACCGAGCATAAATCATATCGGGTTATTCTCTTGTTAATTGTCTCTGTCTTAAGGTAGCACGTGCTTACGAGGCCCAGGGGGTCTCTATAGGGATCCTCAAAACACAATGGATACCTAATTAACTCGAGCATAAATATCAAACGATCTGCTAATGCCTTTTGAAATAAATCTTGCTCATATTATTTTAGCTAACATTTCTTAATGGGCCACTTCCTCTTACCCTTGTCTACTATTCAATCAATTACAGATTAAGTTAGTGATGTTTTCTAAACATTTCTCCTGAATGATCAATGGCCAATTAACAAACGAACATCGATTGACTAATTTTATGTTTATTCTACTTGGAGTGAATCCATTATATTACGAACAAAAACAAACATTACTATCAATGATATGAATGATTATGTAAGAACTAAGGTGCGTGAATAAAAGTTCGTTTATTCAAATATGCTGTCAATAGGTTTTTTGCCATTTTTATTTGCATTTAATTACAACAATGCAAACGTAAAAGTGCAATAAAATAATTACATAACGTATTTACATAACAAAACTGAAAATCATGCCTCAATTCAAAATAAAAATGAAAGTATAGTTACCCTATAGAAATATTTGTTTAAGGGCTATTGTTCGTAAAAATTTTATTATAGGTTTGAGGGGAGTTCATTAAATTTCTTTAAATATGTAATAAAGTGTACATAAAAAGAAAAATGCTTTAGTTTAGTGAATAGTTAAATGATTAAATACTTTTAGGTTAAAACAGACTCAATGATTTTAAAGAGGCATTATTTGATTTTAATTGCAAACGTTTTCTTAATTCATTTTTTTAAGGGGCATCCAACAGCTTGATCAGTACGCATTCACACCAATAAATACATTCACATCTACATACGTTGCATTCATTCAATTTTATCGATGGAGTACTCAATATTTCTCCATCGACCTGCATACAATAACAAACCAATTTAATTATGGTCGATGTGGTACTTTTATAAATATTCCGCCATCGACACAAGTCACGCACACAGCTCGAGGAGCGATGAGGATGCTATTTCACTCAGCCTCCCCATTTACCCTAAAAGAAACACAAAACACATATTTTGATGGCTGTATAGTATAAAAAATTCCAAATCCCCTCAAACTCGGAACAGGGGGACCCTGAAACTCGCTACCGTATCCAGAACAATGTTAAATCTGGCGGCATGCCTACACGCTCTCTGAATGGAGCCAAGGCATAACACGCCTCTATTATGTGGGACACACACAACCTTTCTCTGCATAAGGGAGACCTGCGCAGGCTTTGGCCCAAAATAATTAATTCAATTTTTAATTAGTTAAGGGAGTATTATTCTGGGGCCTTTTGATCCAGGGCATTATCTATTTTCTTTCTAAACGTTATAATAATCTATCATCACTATCTTATACTTTACCACGGATTTGCCGAATTTTGTAGAAATTCCATCTCCGCATATTATGCTATCCGTGTGGATGTAATAGTGGGGGTATACTGCGCCTTTAAGAGCTATTGTATCCACTAAAGCACATCGGTGAGTCCTATTTCATCCAGAAACTTGATTAATAGGCCCGGTTTCAGTGGTTGAATCTCTTTTGTGGTCACACTGTACATCCCAAACCACTTCCTCCTGCTGGCAAGTGTAGCCTGTGTAGGTTGTGAGTAGATGTGTTGGTGTCTCCTCTGCCTCTTTGCAGAATCTCTGCATGTGCCGTCTTGGATTATTCCATTCTTCTTTAAATGTCCATTTAGCTTGCAGTTTATCCTAATAGGTTAAGAATCCGCAGTTTATTCCTGCTTTCTTTGACACATTCTGTAATTTCTTTTCTTCCGAAATTAGTTAAGAGATTCTTGGATTGCATGTTTCCAATGAGTAATTTCCATTGTTTCTTCATTTTCTTTTTGTCCTGTCCGAGATACTCATTAATAGTGTGGGTTCCTATACCACAGAAGGGTTCAGGTCCTGTCAGCGGTTTAACAGCTTCTTTCCTTGGATGGGTGTCCGCTTTCTCGTTTCCTTCTACTCCTATGTGTCCTGCAACCCAGCAGAGGCTGAACTTGTTCAGCATACCTAATATGTTTAATTTGGTTTTGCAGTTCAGCACCATCTTTGAACTAATGATGTTTTGATCGCTGCTAGGCTATCTGACATGATAGCTATGTTCTTGTTTTTGTACTCTTTATTCAGGTTGAGTTAAGTACATCTCTCGACTGCGTGAATCTGAGCTTGGAAGATACTGGTGTATTTTCCCTTGGGTTCATAATATTTGGTTTCAGAACCCAATACTTCTGCTCCTGTACCTTCTTGTGTTCTAGATCCATCTGTGTACCAAAGGATGGTGCAATTCTTGAAGGAGGCGTTTCTCTCTCGCTCCCATTCTTTTTTGGTTCCTAGATTTATTTGGAAGTTTTGATTAAATTCAAACGTCCTGTCCTGTCTCGGATCCATGATATCCGATGGTGGATACATCTACATCTATATCCTATCCATGCTGGTGTCCCCACAATTTATCAGGTGCACACAGTTGACATCCTATCCCATTATTAAACCACCACTCCGAACTTTGCAGACGATACACCGATCCTATCAAGTAACAGTGATCCAGTCGTTTCCCATACACTGCATGTATAGGCCTAAATATTTTTTCTGTCAAAAATTTAATCCAATCCGGTTGCCGCAAGTTTCATAAAACCAATGAATTAATTTAATTTAATTCACAAAAGCGATAAAAGTATAAAAAAAACATGATAATAAATTGAGAATAGAAGAATTCATCATTTTGAACAATTCTATGTCATGTACATATATAACCAGACAATGACAAATTTATCTGTTTTAGTATTGTTTTCTTCCATTATGCTTGTTGAGTTAGATGCAATTATTTTTTACGACGAGGACTAACTATAAACAGTTTATCCTTCTTCCCTCTGGACCTTTTTCTTCTTCTACGGATAGAACAATTTTCGTTTTTTAAATACTTGTGCGATGCAGGTAATTATATTGTAGATTGTGATCTGACGAATATGGACGTCGGCGATTTTTGCATCGTCGCAGTTATCATGATGTCAATAATAATGAAGTCTTATTAGCGTTTTTGTCATATTTTTTTCCAGTTCTGAACGAACTAAAGATTTACGAGGTTGTTCAGTTATCGACCAATTTTGAATATAATCTGGTTTGGGATGTTATTGGGTATGTGATCTTTCAATGAATCATACACTGTATTATACAGTTGCCAAGTTTTCGGCTCTATATTTGGCCTT